TATGTATTGCAATGATTAAGTACATACACAACAGACGTCAGGTCGTCATGAAATATCATGAAATATTATTTGATATTTGTGAACTATGTGAACTGTGTTTTTTATGGAATTGACAGTGTAACATTATCCTTATAGACAGAAAATGGGCATTATCGTAGGCTCAAGTAGAATTATTGATTTTGCTTAGAATTTTCAGTCTTGTGCAAGGCCTATTCTACAGCAAAGCATTCCTCTGTGTCACAGTCTGTAGTCCAGCTGGAATGCAATCCTACCAAAAAAGGTGTGATCTGTTTGAAAACAAATATGCCAAGATAACTCATGTTTTTATCTATTTTAAAATATAAACATTCAAAGCTACACACTCTAAAGTGGCTGTTGGCTGACATGAACCAATTAATAGTATCCTAGCAACAGCAGTCAATATAATAATATGCCATTTAGCAGACGCTTTTATCCAAAGCGACTTACAGTCATGCGTGCATACATTTTTGTGTATGGGAGGCCCTGGGGATCGAACCCACTACCCTGGCGTTACAAGCGCCATGCTCTACCAGCTGAGCTACAGAGGACCATATGTTGCTTAGCAACACCATTTGGATATGCATAAATTATATTTAATTCTACAACAGGTTGGTCAAAACAAGCATTGTGATTGGTTGAGATGCGTTCTAAGCCATACTAAAAAAAAACGTTTAGCATGGGTAAGCCTATGATTTTACTGTATAGAAAGAAATGTGAATAGAAAAACAGGTCAAACAAAATTAAATGCAGCTAGTTTGCTGTCTTACCAGCTTCAGTTTGAAGTGATTGTGTTAGCCTTAGTAGGCTAGCTAGCATGCAAAGGATAAGAGCATTGCCAGCCAGCATGGCAACAGAACATTTAGAACGAACGACTGGGTCGTGTCCATAGATATAGAATAAAAAGACTTCACAACTGGGTCGCGTCTCTGGCAACCTGACCGATAGCTTGGCTAGCAACCATGTCGGGACTAGGCCTATATTTTTGTTAAGGGATGAAATAGTAGCCTATGAATACATTTATCAAAATAAAGTTATTTATTTAATTGGTAACCCATTGTAGAAAAGCAATTGTACCTATGACTGCAGCACAGCAGTGCTAAAAAAGTAGTTTAGCACACCCTCTTGTGTACAATTGCTTTAGCAGGGCCTTCGAATAAAGTATTTGAGGAAGCCAAGGCTAAGGCTCACACATTATCAATAAGGAATCATCAGGCACCGTCATCTTAAAAGTCATAAAAATATGAGCTTCCAGGAGGTTACTGTATGTCTAGATTTTGCATAATATTATGGTAGCCTACCCTGAAAGGGATAGAAGTGACAAATATCACTCAACTCAATTCAGGTCTCTCTGTCTCACAATGCATTCAACCCTCATTATGTCTCATTTTCTGACTGACTGTCGGACTGACTGACTGCTGAAAGCCTTTATCACACAGTGACTCTCTCTGAGACCCTTCCTGTGTGTGTCTGTCCCTGGAGGGAGACCCTGTTAATGAAGAGATCATAGTCCTATTCATCACCAGACTCTTCAGCTCACACACACAGAGCAGCAATTAGACCTCTATGGCTCGTCTTCAGTAATCAGCCTACAGCAGCCAGGCTTAATGTTATCTATTAATGCTTTCTATCTCCCTGTGTAATGACCAGTGGAGGCTGCTGAGGGGAGGACAGCTTGTAATAATGTCTGGAACGGAGCAAATGGAATGGCGTCAAACACAAGGAAACCATGTGTTGATGTATTTGATACCATTCCACTGATTCCGCTGCAGCCATTACCATGAGCCCATCCTCCCCAATTAAGGTGCCACCAACCTCCTGTGGTAATGACCTACAGTGATATGATCTGTGGCTGAATGGGCTTTGGCTCAGGTGCTGCTGCTCAGCATACTAATATTTGATATTTGACAAGCCCATTAGTTAACAAAACACCTTTTCTGATTTTCCCACCTCTGAATTGTCAATCATATTACAGGCACATCTGAGACAAGATACACCTTATTCAGCCGCCATTTAATATGGATGGCTCTGAATTGAATTAGAGATTTTGTGAAATGAGATCTACTCACATGCATTTAGAGGTTGTGGCTATTTCTCCGGGCCAGCCATTTGATAATCAGTTTTCCAGATTCATGTAATTTTCCTCAACACCTCATATGGAGCTGGGAATCCCGTAACTATCGGGCTCCCGAGTGGCTCAGCGGTCTAAGGCACTGCATCTCAGTGCTTGAGGCGTCACTACAGACCCCCTGGTTCAATTCCAGGCTGTATAACAACCGGCAGTGATTGGGAGTCACAAAGGGCAGCACACAATTGGCCCAGCGTCGTCCGGGTTTGGCCGGTGTAGGCCGTCATTGTAAATAAGAATTTGTTCTTAAGTGACTTGCCTGGTTAAATAAAAACTTGTCAATGACGCAGGGCTTTGAACCCACATTTAACAGGCTGCAGTCTGCGCCCACACCCTATACTGGTGACCTCAGCGTAATAGAATATGGACCTGTGAGCCAACACTGTAGTATTCCCCCTGCCTGCGTTACTATCACACTACTAATAGACCTCACTGTCTGTCTCCCCTGGAGGACCGTTCAGCAGGCTGACCATTAGTGCAGTACACAAGGCCAACCACACGCTTGATGTATCATATGTTGCTCTACTTGTGTGACATATGCACACAAAAATGACTGACGTAATATCAAATGATCTGAAGCTAATGTTTATACTTTGCTTAGATCAATCAAAAAGTCTCTGTTTGTGCAAACAATCTTAAAGGGCAATTATACTACTTTTCAACCTCATTTTCATTATCTCCAGCACAATACCAGTGTCTACATAACTGTCCATGCAATATATTTTCAATCCATTGCATAAACCATTATCTCTTGCTGATACTGTCCCTAAATTACACCCTGTACTTGTAAACAACATTGTATCACTGTTTTGATAGTTTTTTAATGAAAATACTGGCATGCTTGATTGCTATATGGTCTACTATATGAATGCTCTCAGTATTACTTTGGTGCAGTATAGTCCTTTATGGAATCCATCATCTCCTCTCTGCAGAGACAGGGTCAGAGGCAGGGTCAGAGGCAGGGTCAGATACAGGGTCAGAGGCAGAGTCAGAGACAGGGTCAGAGACAGGGTCAGAGGCAGAGCCAGAGACAGGGTCAGAGGCAGAGCCAGAGACAGGGCCAGAGGCAGAGTCAGAGACAGTGTCAGAGACAGGGTCAGAGGCAGGGTCAGAGACAGGTGGGTCAGAGGCAATGACAGGGTCAGAGACAGGGTCAGAGACAAGGTCAGAGGCAGGGTCAGAGGCAGAGCCAGAGGCAGAGGCAGAGACAGGGTCAGAGACAGGGTCAGAGGCAGGGTCAGAGGCAGAGCCAGAGGCAGAGGCAGGGTCAGAGGCAGGGTCAGAGGCAGGGTCAGAGGCAGAGCCAGAGCCAGAGACAGGATCAGAGGCAGGGTCAGAGGCAGAGACAGGGTCAGAGGCAGGGTCAGAGGCAGAGGCAGAGCCAGAGACAGGATCAGAGGCAGGGTCAGAGGCAGAGACAGGGTCAGAGGCAGGGTCAGAGGCAGGGTCAGAGACAGAGCCAGAGACAGTGTCAGAGACAGTGTCAGAGGCAGGGTCAGAGGCAGGGTCAGAGACAGTGTCAGAGGCAGGGTCAGAGGCAGAGCCAGAGACAGTGTCAGAGACAGGGTCAGAGGCAGATGCAGGGTCAGAGGCAGATGCAGGGTCAGAGACAGGGTCAGAGACAGGGTCAGAGGCAGGGTCAGAGGCAGAGGCAGGGTCAGAGGCAGAGCCAGAGACAGTATCAGAGACAGGGTCAGAGACAGGGTCAGAGGCAGGGTCAGAGGCAGAGCCAGAGACAGTGTCAGAGACAGGGTCAGAGGCAGGGTCAGAGGCAGAGGCAGAGGCAGAGGCAGGTCAGAGACAGGGTCAGAGGCAGAGCCAGAGACAGGGTCAGAGGCAGAGGCAGGGTCAGAGGCAGAGCCAGAGACAGGGTCAGAGACAGGGTCAGAGGCAGAGACGGGGGCAGAGGCAGAGGATGGTGGAGGAATGACCACACTCTTAAACCTCCTCCTTCCTGCTATCACACTATAACCTGAACTCTACAACCTCGAAAAAAAATCTGATGCTGATGAAACATTTCCACGGCACCAACCCCAGATTCCATTCCATTCTGTCTGCATCTTTACTATACCAGCTCAGCAATGTCAATAGTGTGCAATTTGAGAACAAAGTTATAACTCTTCTAAAGTATCAGACAGCCTCTTAGTAGATTCTCTAATGTCACACAGTAGACTATATTTCATATCTCCAAGCAATGATGAGACTTGGATTAATGTTCATTCTTTGGTATTCAATCACCAGAAATGCCAATACAAAGTCTTAGATTCAGCACATTGTTTCATTTGTTCTTATCAGACCAGTATGCAAACTGTTTCTGAACCTACAGCTGACATTGGCTGAGATAATGGAATTCGATATTCACTTTCTGTTTTCTTGGCCTGTTTACGTATTTCTATGACAATAAATTATAAGGCTGATATAACAGTGTTCCAATTATCTCAGGAATCGTATTGTGTGTCTGCTTACAAGAGCTGACAATGAAGTTTATCCAAAACAACATAAAGCTTGTTTGACAGCACAGACCATTTCCCCACAATGGCAAAGCAGGAAGAATATTGTATATTTCAACCAGTGAAATTAAACTGACTATAGATGAGTATGGCCAAGGCTGCATCCTAGCTGACTACTGCCTGTGAAACTGAAACTGTCCTTAGTTCTGTCTTGCTGTGCAGTTCTGAGTCCAGGTTTCAGACTCCTTAATGTTACCACCCTATATTTCCTTTTTTTTCCTCTTAAGCTTAGAGAAAGTGCCTGTCTTCAACCTTGAAAAACCCTTGAACACTCTGAAACAAAAACATAATAATATAGCAAAAAGCACTCTGCTGGAAGGAAGCTTTCAGAGGCAGTGAAAGACATGGAGAGGGACTTATCTGGTGTGTTCTCTCATCCTCTATCTCCTCCCCCGTACTCCTCTCTCCATCTCACCTCTCACCAGGTGTACGAGCGAGGAACCAACGTGGAGCAATTTGTTACCCGCTTCCTGTTGAAGGAATCAGCCAATCAGATCCATTCTCTGCTGAACTCGGTGGAGAGTGCTGTGGACGCTATTGACGAGCAGCACTGTAGCCAATCAGGGTGAGTTGTGGAGTGAGGAGGACACCACTGCTGTGTCATGTCTTTATGTGTGTGAAATTTAGCCTGGCAGTCCCCCAAATGGAAATCACTCAGGTTCCTAGCTATGTGCCTTCTCTGGCTACTGTGATCCTCACTCATCCTCTCTCTCATCTCTCATCCCTCTCTCTCTCTCTCTCTTTCTCTCTTTGTCTGTCTGTCTGTCTGTCTGTCTGTCTGTCTGTCTGTCTGTCTGTCTGTCTCTCGCTCTCTCTGTATAGGTACCCTACTAAGGTCAGTCAACGGGTTCCAGAGAAACGTTATGAGAACCCAGTAACTGACTACCCTCCTAACAACAGAGTCAGTGCTGTCAAGGATGCTGCCCCGAGGAACATCAACACTGCTACAGGTGAGGCCTCTATGCCTGTGTCACACACAAGATACACTGGCATAGGCCTACAGTATATCGTCTCTCACTGAAGAAGGTTTGTATAGATTGGAGTCGATTATCCAGCCCCTTCTACAATCTGCTGATTCATTTAAGTGATGTACTTTACCTTCTGTCTCCCTCTCTCTCCCCTAAGAACACCCTCTCTCTCCCCTAAAAACACATCACATTTAAGCAGAATGTAGACGTGTCACCTGAACCAAATGCAATGTAAATTAAATGTTTTCTGAATGAAGTGCGACATACATTTGTCAGTTGCATTTGTGATTAGCTTGGAGACAAGCCTGGTAGTATTAATCAAGCAGAATGGAAATCAAAAGCACTGTTCTCTTCTTTTATTTCCCATTTTCTACATTCTCAATCAATCATCTACAGGAACATAGAGATGTGCCTGGCGGCTCCAGCTCTCCCACAGAGAGGATGAGGGAGGGAGGGAGGGAGGGAGGGTGGCTGTACAATGACACAGATATGCAGATCAAAAAGTCACATACATTTCACTCTGCTTACAGCCATCACTTCAGTTAGAGTTGGCCCTATGTTCTGCAGTGAGCCGCTGTAAAGATGTAGGCCTATGGGTTTCAGTAGCAATATCAGTCTACCAGAACCAGTGTGCATTTGCCAGACACCATCATTTTTAGATTTCTTCATTCATTCAGAACCACAATGACATTTCAGCTGTTTCATGCTTCTGTCTCAAAGATAATTCTGGAATCAATCCATTTAAAGCAGCTTGCATAACGTACAGCATTCAGAGCAGTTACAGAATAAAGAAAGAGTGCACAATCATCATGCATCATGCATACAGTAGATAAGCATTATGTACTGTAAGTATACAGTTGTTTGGGAGTAGACCAAGTGCTGAAAACTACTTTTCAATGGGGATAAATAATCCAATTTTCCCTGAATCCATTCCTGAATTTCAATTAGAGCGCGGCTCCACTGTAAAGCAGAGATAGAGCTTCTGGCTATGGCCTCACAAATTAATTCCAGTCAAAATTGCTCTCATTTAATAACAATCTTTATAGAATTACATTAGAATGACATGGAAACCATTGAAATTGTCTATAGAAAGGGGCAATTTTGAGTCCATTACTTAAGCCTGACAGCAGTTAAACATTTCCCACAGACACTCATAAACCTGACCGTTAGGGCAATAAAAGCCAGTATTACAGCTGTCAGCCGCTAGGAAGAAGGCCTTGATTGGGGCCAGCTTTGTCTGGCCTGTCATTTATTTTATCAGGAAGAAAATATTGATCAATACTTCCCTGTGCCCCACTCCCCCTGCCTCTTACTCGTAGACTCACTTGTTCTCCCCTGACTATCCCACACACTTTTATCAAATATCTTTTTTTCCTACAGTTTTTCCTGCTATATTGCTATATCCCTCTTTTTTGTATCATGGCAGACAAAACATTCTCGTTGCAGAATCTGTCTGTGCTCTCTCTTCACTGATCAGAGAATACCTTGCCAGTCAAAGTGCTCAATTTAAACATTCACACTGATCAGTTTTGTGGAACTGCCTCCTTGCAGGAGTATATGACACTATGGGAGAAATTTTGTTTTTAAATGAGCCATTGTTCATTGTTCAATGTTACCTGAGGCAAGCCACACTCCATGCATTTTGACAATTGTGTGCTTGTGCTTGTGTGTGTGAGTGTGCAGGCACCAGTGCGTGGAATGAAAATGTTCCTTGCTCACAGCCTATCTGCGACTGCCATATGTTAGACAGTATGGTGAGGCAGCTGCACATGGAGATGGCTGTCTGTTGTTAGCATGGCCAGTCAGGAATAATGACTGCTCTCCTGCATATGACAGAGAGTATGCTCAAACAGCTTGGACAGCCATTCAGCCATTCAGCCCCAACTGACCAAATGTGCCTGCTATGTGCATGCTTCAAAGGTCTCTATGGTTATGGCTGGTAGTTCCAAAATGCCGCAGCTCCTCTAAGCTCTGTGCTTCTGTGGTAAGCTCATCCACACAGGGGGAAGTGTCATCCTCTAATTGGCTTGGCACCTTGAGAGGTGATGATTTTAAAGAGCAGAAAGCCCTTTTCCACCACTAATTGGTTGTGTTGCATCACATGGAGGGGAGAAGAATGGAATAATTAATATTATTTGCCTACCTGTTCATTTCTGCCTCACTGAGGCCTCCTATCACAGGGCTTCTCAGTGTGTTTCATTCTATTGTCATTGTCGTCCCTGCTGGGCCTTCACAGCACACACTAATATCCAGGGTGACTTACAAAGGCAAAGCTAATCACAAGAGCCAAGTGCGCTAGGATAGAATGTGTTATTTCTTTCTACACAGAGCTGAGGCACTAGGTATATATTTCAACGTCAAACCTTGAATAGTCATGATTTTTCCTGATTAACAAATTGTATTCCCTATTTATCAGACCTGGTTGGAACTCTTTATTTGCATCACATATTCATAGACTCTGGAGCAAAAGATCTGTACCATAAAATGTGTTGAATGCTGGGAGTGTGTTGGCATCAGGTGTTGTATGCTCTGTTCTATCAGGGGTGGTGGAGGTGAGGAAAGAGACGCTGGAGGCACAAATCAACCGACTGGCTGAGCTGATTGGACGCCTTGAGAACAAGGTAAGAACCCCCACCCTGCTCAAAAAAATGACACTGAACAAAAATACAAACGCAACATGTAAAGTGTTGGTCCCATGTTTCATGAGCTGAAATAAAAGATCCCAGAAATGTTCCATTTGCACAAAAAGCTTATTTCTCTCAAATGTTATGCCCAAATGTGTTTACATCCCTGTTAGTGAGCATTTCTCCTTTGCCAAGATAATCCATCCACCTGACAGGTGTGGCATATCAAGAAGCTGATTAAACAGCATGATCATTACACAGGTTCATCTTGTGCTGGGGACAATAAAAGGCCACTCTAAAATGTGCAGTTTTGTCACACAACACAATGCCACCAATGTCTCAAGTTTTGAGGGAGTATGCAATTGGCATGCTGACTGCAGGAATGTCCACCAGAGCTGTTGCCAGAGAATTGAATGTTAATTTCTCTACCATTCGTCGTTTGAGAGAATTTGGCAGTACGTCCAACAGGCCTCACAACCACAGACCATGTGTAACCACGCCAGCCCAGGACCTCCACCTCCACATCGCTTCTTCACCTGCGGGATCGTCTGAGACCAGCTACCTGGACAGCTGATGAAACTGGGTCTGCACAAACTGTCAGAAACCATCTCAGGGAAGCTCATCTGCGTGCTCGTCATCCGCACCAGGGTCTTGACCTGACTGCGGATTGGCATCGTAACCGACTTCAGTGGGCAAATGCTCACCTTCGATGGCCACTGGCACGCTGGAGAAGTGTGCACTTCACGGATGAATCCTGGTTTCAACTGTATCGGGCAGATGGCAGACAGAGTGTATGGTGTCGTGTGGGCGAGCGGTTTGCTGATGTCAATGTTGTGAACAGAGTGCCCCATGGTGGCGGTGGGGTTATGGTATGGGCAGGCATAAGCTACGGACAATGAACACAATTGCATTTTATCGATGGCAATTTGAATGCATAGAGATACTGTGACGAGATCCTGAGGCCCATTGTCATGCCATTCATCTGCCGCCATCACCTCATGTTTCAGCATGATAATGCACGGCCCCGTACCGCAAGGATCTGTACACAATTCCTGGAAGCTGAAAGTGTCCCAGTTCTTCTATGGCCTGCATACTCACCAGATATGTCACCCATTGAGCATGTTTGGGATGCTCTGCATCGACGTGTACAACAGCGTGTTCCAGTTCCCGCCAATATCCAGCAATTTCGCATAGCCATCGAAGAAGAGTGGGGCAACATTCCACAGGCCACAATCAACAGCCTGATCAATTCTATGCGAAGGAGATGTGTTGCGCTGCAGGAGGCAAATGGTGGTCACACCAGATACTGACTGGTTTTCTGATCCATGCCCCTAACTAATGAATGTATTTCAATTGACTGTTTTCCTCATATGAACTGTAACTCAGTAAAGAATTTGAAATTGTTGCATGTTGTATAATCTTGGAAATTGCAGTTTGTATTTTCTTCTTCGCCATGATCAGCTCAGAAATTGATGAATACAAACTTGAAATCACTGATTATCATGACAATTTAGCCCACTGATTGAAACTCCTGGACAGCAGTCGTGAGTAGCTTAATTTCATTCCACAGGCTATTGTCCATTTTACTTTGGCCTGTCCTGTTTATAGGGTTTGGTGTGTTTGTTAACATGTTAATTCATATTCACATCGAAGCCCATTTTTATTTGATAGGATGCCATTTAGGCTATTTAATCAGAAACACTCATGATGTAAAAAGTGTCTGTCTCATGACATTATCATACATTTGGTCACCCTGTAGGCTACAGAAAAGGCCACAGAGGCTTTATAGTATTTCTACTGTATAGGCTGCTACATGATTTGTGTTAGATGACTTTGACAGAGAGTTGGTGAAGCGTTGGTGGAGTGCCGCAGCGCTGCATCTCTCCAACAGTACCATGGAGAGGTGCACTGGGCATGGACAAGATCAATATTTTGCACCCCTGCCTTTGGCAAAGTGGGCACTGCTTATCATGGGGCAGCATCAGCACTCACCTTAATAGCCCATACAGTGAGGGAAAAAAGTATTTGATCCCCTGCTGATTTTGTACATTTGCCCACTGACAAAGACATGATCAGTCTATAATTTTAATGGTAGGTTTATTTGAACAGTGAGAGACAGAATAACAACAAAAAAATCCAGAAAAACGCATGTCAAAAATGTTATAAATTGATTTGCATTGTAATGAGGGAAATAAGTATTTGACCCCTCTGCAAAACATGACTTAGTACTTGGTGGCAAAACCCTTGTTGGCAATCACAGAGGTCAGACGTTTCTTGTAGTTGGCCACCAGGTTTGCACACATCTCAGGAGGGATTTTGTCCCACTCCTCTTTGCAGATCTTCTCCAAGTCATTAAGGTTTCGAGGCTGACGTTTGGCTGACGTTTGAACCTTCAGCTCCCTCCACAGACTTTCTATGGGATTAAGGTCTGGAGACTGACTAGGCCACTCCAGGACCTTAATGTGCTTATTCTTGAGCCACTCCTTTGTTGCCTTGGCCGTGTGTTTTGGGTCATTGTCATGCTGGAATACCCATCCACGACCCATTTTCAATGCCCTGGCTGAGGGAAGGAGGTTCTCACCCAAGATTTGACGGTACATGGCCCCGTCCATCGTCCCTTTGATGCAGTGAAGTTGTCCTGTCCCCTTAGCAGAAAAACACCCCCAAAGCATAATGTTTCCACCTCCATGTTTGACGGTAGGGATGGTGTTCTTGGGGTCATAGGCAGCATTCCTCCTCCTCCAAACACGGCGAGTTTTGTTGATGCCAAAGAGCTCGATTTTGGTCTCATCTGACCACAACACTTTCACCCAGTTCTCCTCTGAATCATTCAGATGTTCATTGGCAAACTTCAGACGGCCCTGTATATGTGCTTTCTTGAGCAGGGGGACCTTGCGGGCACTGCAGCATTTCAGTCCTTCACAGCGTAGTGTGTTACCAATTGTTTTCTTGGTGACTATGGTCCCAGCTGCCTTGAGATCATTGACAAGATCCTCCCGTGTAGTTCTGGGCTGATTCCTCACTGTTCTCATGATCATTGCAACTCCACGAGGTGAGATCTTCCATGGAGCCCCAGGCTGAGGGAGATTGACAGTTATTTTGTTTCTTCCATTTGCGAATATTCGCACCAACTGTTGTCACCTTCTCACCAAGCTACTTGGCGATGGTCTTGTAGCCCATTCCAGCCTTGTGTAGGTCTACAATCTTGTCCCTGACATCCTAGGAGAGCTCTTTGGTCTTGGCCATGGTGGAGAGTTTGGATTCTGATTGATTGATTTCTTCTGTGGACAGGTGTCTTTTATACAGGTAACAAACTGAGATTAGGAGCACTCCCTTTAAGAGTGTGCTCCTAATCTCAGCTTGTTACCTGTATAAAAGACACATGGGATCCAGAAATCTTCCTGATTGAGAGGGGGTCAAATACTTATTTCCCTCATTAAAATGCAAATCAATTTATTCAATTTTTGACATGCGTTTTTCTGATTTTTGTTGTTGTTATTCTGTCTCTCACTGTTCAAATAAACCTACCATTAAAATTATAGACTGATAATTTCTTTGTCAGTGGGCAAACATACAAAATCAGCAGGGGATCAAATACTTCCCTCACTGTATGCCACTGGGTGAATTATGTTTCAATTGTTTTGGGGCAGAATTATGTGTGGTGTTATGTGTTGTTGGAGGTGCGTCTTGGTCAGTTTAGCTTGGGAAATGCCACCCTCGTCAATCTGCCGCCCTAGGAGGGTGCCTAATCATGCCTAATGGGCGGGCCGGCCCCTCTATCTCTAGTACATCCTATGGTGCCTCTTTAGTGCATCTCCAACAACACATCCAATCTGTGCTGCACCTCACAGGCAGGGCTCTAAATTGTAAAAATGTATTTGCAGCACTGGTGCTCCCTACTTTCTTTGACTTTTTAACCCTTTTTCGTGACACACTGCTCGCTTAACCCGGAAGCCAGCTGCACCAATGTGTCGGAGGAAACACCGTACAACTGGCGACCGTGTCAGCGTGCATGCGCCCGCCACAAGGAGTCGCTAGAGCGCGATGGGACAAGGACATCCCAGCCGGCCAAACCCTCCCTTAACCCGGACGATGCTGGGCCAATTGTACGCGGCCAGCTGCGATACAGCCCGGGATTGAACCCGGGTCTGTAGTGACGCCTCAAGCACTGCGATGCAGTGCCTTAGACCGCTGCGACACTCGGGAGGCCCGGTGTTCCCTACTTTAAAAAACTAGGAGCACAACATAACATTTTGTAGTACCAGAAAATACGATTTGTTACATGTTCAATTTTGGTCCTTACTGAACACTTCTCGTTTTTGTTTCTACTTGGTATTTTTGCACTCACTTGGTTTCCCAGGTTCCAGTTTTTTGGCCCTCCAGGCCTGACATTGAACAGCCCAGGCCTATATGAATTCTAGCTACTTCTGAAGCACATGCTGTGCCTTAGAAACTAATTTGTAACCCTGTAAATACATTTTGTTTATTATAAAAATAAATAAAATCTTAATACAAATACCTGTCATTGAAATTAAAAATACATTTGTGGAATGTTAGGTTTCTACATTATGTAAAAGCACAAATTTGAGATGCATTACATTGAAAATTGTACAGCCTTTTTAAAAGTGTCAAGTTTGTGACTACAACATGCAAGAGATCAGTCATTCATTAATTCATTGCTATGATCATTGATCTCCTGAAGAAGCTATCCCTTTTCCTTTCTTACTGTGCCCCCAAATGTTTGGATATACTACTGGTAAAGTTATCAGGTTGCTAGCTAGCTAGCTAATGGCGTAATTAACTTGACTGAACAAGATGAAATAAAATAAAAGGTTAAGGGCCACAAAGTCCAAATTGTCTATATCGTACAATACCTTGAAAATTCATAATTTAAAGTTAGATTAAGGCTTAAGGTTAGCAGTGTGGTTAAAGTTAAGGTTAGTGTTAGGTTTAAAATCAGATTTTAAGAAAATAAATTGTATTGGTTTTTGACTTTGTGGCTGTGGTAACTAGTGACGACCCTTTAAAACGGCCCTCGACATGGTTTATGAACGTAAAATGCGCCCCCCCAAAAAAAATCCGCGATAGGAAGATGGGGGGAAGGGGAGGGATGAGAGAAGAGCACGAGGGAGAGAGAAAGAAAGAGACAAAGGAAGCAATTATAGAGCCCTGACTTCCAAACTATTGCAATATGTCTTGCTATTTCTTTCACCCATCCCTCCCTCTCTCCCTAGCACTCTTCTCCCCCCTCATGCCCTCTCCCCTTCTCCACGCTGTCTTCCCTCACTCATTCCCTCACTCTCTCTCTGTGTCTCTCTCTCTTTCATTCTCGCTCCTCTCTCTCTCACTCGCTCTCCTCTTTGTCTCTCTCCGTTGCCCATGTCTTGTATGCAGTGAGCATGGTAGACTAATGGAGTCTCCAGTTAATTCTGTTGTATCTGGCAGGCAGGCGAGTTCTTATTGCAGCAGCTAAGAATAGCTGAATAGGTTTATTCCACGCTTGATGAAGCGCCCCTGAGAGAACAAGGAAGGCGCTGTCAGATCCCAGTGAAGATTCCTAAAGGGAGGATTTCTGGGTCTTCCCAGGCAGACCTTCTGTGTCACAGGGCTAGGAACTATCCTGGAGCAGTCAACTGTACTGTACATCTATGGCGGGATGGATTTGGGGGGATCAGACAAATGTTCCCTCACAGAAAATATGTATTTGCAGCGGGCTGCGCTGTTTGCCGCAAGTGCTTATTATCCATGTTATAAGAGAGGGACTACAAATTAATGGGTGTGAAAAAATGTATTACAAAAGGGTTTCGAACAGAGTGAGAATTTTGTTTACTGGATGCCGTTATGACTAACATGCATTGCACAAATTGAGTTGTCTTCTGCCTCACGAGATCAAAGTAGTAGTCCCCTCAGCTATTTCCATGCTATCTCCGTCTGTGATTGTACTCATGAATGTACTTTTCTGGATTTCTCTTGCAAACCAGGCATATGCTTTAAATTGTTAGTCCTATACAATGTGACTTATTTGCACACACTGATCTAGTCATTGTATATTACCTGCAGGATGATTTTAACCAGAGGTGACCTCAAGCCCATCCCAGATGTGTGAAGGATCCTTGTCATCAGAGCTCTTGTTGTCTGTATAATGCTGTGGAATGCTGTAGAATGCTTGCCTGCTGGTTCAGGAAGCATCATTTCCTTTCCCCGTTGTGTCATTTTAAATGCCTCAATCACCGTGGCAACTGGAGCACCAGCATGCTTTCTTTTTTTCTCCAGCAGCCCTCATATTGCTACAGATGAAGGATCTTAATTTGATCACTATTTTGTTGCTGAGAATTTTCCTGCACAGCAGGAAATGCAAACTTGTAGTGTATTTTCAATAACCCAAAATATTGTGTTTTCACCTTTTTGAAGCTGGTGTACAAAACCGGAAGTAAAAGATGCAAAAAAGAAACTTAAGAACGAGAAGCATTGAAATAGCGCACATAGAACAGATCTACTGCTTCTTAGACTTGCTTTCAATGAGAATGACAGATCTATAATGCACATTTCTATGTGAATTTGGTCAGGTCGCCCAAAAAGTTACATATTGCAGCTTCAATTATAATCCACATAATAATTCACATTTCCTGTTGCTGCAGGATTCTTTTTCTGCTGTAATTTAGCAAACTGGCTCAAATTAAGATCTTACATCTGTACAGTATCTGGTGCTGAATGAAAGAAAATCCAGGGTCTCAACCCACATTCAGACACATCTGCGTTAAGTCTGCTCGTCATTATGCACCAATATGCACTCAGTAAGACATTTGTGGGAAGGATACTGCTATACAATACAGTGTTTAACTCCACTCCCACCGGAAAGATGAGAGTAACTTCAGAAACACCACAGAATGTGAATTCTACATGAGTTTTCAATAGTTTCAGTCCATAACGTACTCATCACAGTTTGTCTCATGTAATGTATTGGCTCTGTCCTATGTGGCCTGCTGTAGACTAGGCTTCAGATGAATAGGCCACAGAATGCCTGCATTGCTAATGCCATTGGGCTCCCGAGTGGTGCAGCGGTCTAAGGCACTGCATCTCAGTGCTTGAGGCGTCACTACAGACCCCCTGGTTAGATTCCAGGCTGTATCACAACCGGCCGTGATTGGGAATCCCATAGGGCGGCGCACAATTTGCCCAGCGTCGTCCGTGTTTGGCTGGTGTAGGCCGTCATTGTAAATAAGAATTTGTTCTTAACTGGCTTGCCTAGTTAAATAAAGGTAAAATAAATAAATAAATTGTAACTTGACTCAGTTGATCCAGCCCACTTTCTCCTATCACTGCTTTGGATTGGATGTAAAGGAAAACTGAACCCAAAAACAATATTTTGGTTTTTGTTTCATTAGTCCATTGTTGATATAGTACCAAAATGTTTTGCATATCATCAAGTTTTCAAGATAAATAACTTTCAAAATACAGAAATATAGCCGGTAGGATGCTGTCTTTCTGTATTTTTTAAGTAATACATTTTGAAAATGTCAGGATCGTCAGGAATAGATGAGGACCAAGGCGCAGCGTTGCAGGCTAACATACTCTTTATTACGAGACACGATCAAAACAACAAACGATACGTGACAGTTCACGGTCTACCATAAACAGACTAGAAACAAAACACATGATCTACACACCCTGGCTCAACATAACAGTGTCCCCAGAGCCAGGGCGTGACAGTACCCCCCCCTAAAGGCGCGGACTCCGACCGCGTCAACCAAATACCACAGGGGAGGGACCGGGTGGGCACTCCGCCTAGGCGGCGGATGGGCACTCCGCCTCCGGGCCGAGCCGGGCTGACGAAGCGCACCACTGACTTGGTGCGGGGAGCAGGAACGGGCCGAGCCGGGCTGACGAAGCGCACCACTGACTTGGTGCGGGGAGCAGGAACGGGCCGAGCCGGGCTGACGAAGCGCACCACTGACTTGGTGCGGGGAGCAGGAACGGGCCGAGCCGGGCTGACGAAGCGCACCACTGACTTGGTGCGGGGAGCAGGAACGGGCCGAGCTGGGCTGACGAAGCGCACCACTGACTTGGTGCGGGGAGCAGGAACGGGCCGAGCCGGGCTGACGAAGCGCACCACTGACTTGGTGCGGGGAGCAGGAACGGGCCGAGCCGGGCTGACGAAGCGCACCACTGACTTGGTGCGGGGAGCAGGAACGGGCCGAGCCGGGCTGACGAAGCGCACCACTGACTTGGTGCGGGGAGCAGGAACGGGCCGAGCCGGGCTGACGAAGCGCACCACTGATTTGGTGCGGGGAGCAGGAACAGACCGGACCGTACTGGGGACACACACCACTGGCCCTACACCGGGATCTGGAACGGGCCGGACCGGACTGGTAACACACCCCAGTACCTCTCGCCGTGCCTCTACACCTTCCATCCCCTCTTCGACCAGTGGCCCCCGTAACCTGGCGGCCTCCTCTGCCAACCCGCTGGACCGCTCTATCGCGGCCTCCTGCTGCCCCGACGTCGTGAGCCCCCCCCTAAAAAAATTCTGGGGGTCTCTCCTCCCCGTGGGCCAGGCCTCTATAGTTCTCGCCCAACTCTCGCTCTTCTGCCTCCAACTCCCGCTATTCAGCTCCTCAATTGGCTTGACCCAGTCGAAGCTCTTCCTCCATTGTTCCCAAGTCCACTCTCTCTGCTCTTCACTCGGCTTGACCCAGTCGAGGCTGCCACGGAGATCTGCTAGGGATCTCCCTGGCGATGGCTCCTCGACTCGCTGCTTGGTCCAGTTGTGGTGGGATTTTCTGTCAGGATCGTCAGGAATAGATGAGGACCAAGGCGCAGCGTTGCAGGCAAACATACTCTTTACAAAACAACAAACGATACGTGACAGTTCACGGTCTACCATAAACAGACTAGAAACAAAACACATGATCTACACACCCTGGCTCAACATAACAGTGTCCCCAGAGCCAGGGCGTGACAGAAAACTTCATTACTGACATTCAAAATATTTTGGGACTATGTCATCAATGGACTAATGAAACAAATACCAAAATATCGTTTTTGGGTATAATTTTCCTTTTATGATGTGATGGGAAATATAGCTCTGTAATACAGTGATGGGTTTTTCTGGGCTTTACATTTTCTTGCGGTCGGAGATGCGCATCTCTGATTAAGATCTCTGTGATTCGATATTAAATATGATCTAAGGCCCTTCCACATTATACTATGTGATAGCCACCCTCTCTGTAGTGTAACATTTTCCTCTACATATCTGTGAGTATATTAGCTAGCTAAACGATATAGCGTGTCACAGTATTCAAGCCAGATTTCTGCTCAAATACAAAGCAAGCCTTTCCTTCATTACATAAAAAATATGTTCTAGAAACAAATAGGAGGATAGTTTGACAGTTTGAAGGGAACTCCATTGTTAACTGTAATAAAGCAGCAATAAAATAATAATTCATGACCACCTTAGTTACTGCAGTTTTTATTAACTTCTCAACTAGAAGCTAACTACTGGAACTACACACTACTTTTTTTGCAAAAATAAAATATAGATGAAGTAGGCAAGAATTTCCTTTATTTTTCAGCATCAGACCTGCCTAATTCTGTCTTGAAACACTTTTTGTGTACCTAATTCTCACTTTTTGTGTTTAATAGGCTAAATTACACATTGTGTTAACATCTGACTCCAGAGTGATTTGTTCTTGCAATTTGTAGTCTATGACATTTCAGATTTAGATATGATAATTTTTCACTAAGTAGTTTGGATACAGTGAACTACTTTTTCAAAGTAACTTTAGATAAGTAAACTGTTTTTTTATTAAGGGTAGCTGTAGTGTAGCTTAACTTATTTCAGTGTAAATTGATTGGTAGCTTGGTAAACTATATATTCAGAGTAGCTTCCCCAAAACTGATATTCATTCATGAAGGCAAGTCTTGAGTCTGATTAAAAGAAACATGCATTATTTCTGTACAGTTGCAAATAAGACATGGGAGGTGGAATAAACCTGCCCACCTGGGTGTGTGCAGTGCAGAGTAGGGTTCCTCTGTTCCACTGTTCCAGTGCAGTTTAGGGTTAACACTAATCCACTTGTGGTTCTTGTGTTTTGGTTCTTGTTGCAGACAGTTTGGTTTGACCTGCATCAGAGGCTAACAGACACTGATGGCACAGCCAGCGCAGTAAGTAGCATCATTATGCCTGAGAGCCTGGTAGGGGGGCACGGTATGGCTGTGGCACTGTGGGGGACTTGCTGCTCCAACTCTCACTACCCCTCACGACCCCCTGTAGACACATCTCCATTCTGAAGCTCTCAGCTTGCACAGAGAATCATTGGCATCTCATATCCACCTCCTCTCTCAAGCTGAAAGCAGCCAAGAAGATTACTTCCAATTTGTTTTCAATTTTAATCGTGTCTAAAAGTTGCTTTTCGTCTCCCTGCATGAAAAGCATGAGTGCATGTTATTTCTTTTTTTCCTATCAAAGTGGTCAGACTCAGTGCTTGAGTTCAAAATATGTATTTTAAGTGCCTCCCATGGGTGGTTATTTGACCCTGAAACCTCAGGGAAAGCATACATTCTGTTCATATTGTTGTTATGGCCTCTTGCTTCGATATGAACAATTGATAAACAATTTGAACAATTTCGGCTAAGTTCTTTATCTATAAATCTGAAACATGCTTAACCAAAAACAAAAATTACTAATATTTTTTATTTATTTATTTTTTATTTCACCTTTATTTAACCAGGTAAGCCAGTTGAGAACAAGTTCTCATTTACAACTGCGACCTGGCCAAGATAAAGCAAAGCAGTGCGATAAAAACAACAACACAGAGTTACATATGGGGTAAAAAAAACATAAGGTCATAAAATACAACAGAAAATATATATACAGTGTGTGCAAATGTAGCAAGTTATGGAGGTAAGGCAATAAATAGGCTATAGTGCAAAATAATTACAATTAGTATTAACACTGGAATGCTAGATGTGCAAGAGATTATGTGCAAATAGAGATACTGGGGTGCAAAAGAGCAAAATAAATAACAATATAGGGATGAGGTAGTTGGGTGGGCTAATTTCAGATGGGCTGTGTACATGTGCAGTGATCGGTAAGGTGCTCTGACAACTGATGCTTAAAGTTAGTGAGGGAGATAAGAGTCTCCAGCTTCAGAGATTTTTGCAATTCGTTCCAGTCATTGGCAGCAGAGAACTGGAAGGAATGGCGGCCAAAGGAGGTGTTGGCTTTGGGAATGACCAGTGAGATATACCTGCTGGAGCGCAGACTACGGGTGGGTGCTGCTATGGTGACCAATGAGCTAAGATAAGGCGGGGATTTGCCTAGCAGTGATTTATAGATGGCCTGGAGCCAGTGGGTTTGACGACGAACATGTAGTGAGGACCAGCCAACAAGAGCGTACAGGTCACAGTGGTGGGTAGTGTATGGGGCTTTGGAGCCAAAACGGATGGCACTGTGATAGACTACATCCAATTTGCTGAGTAGAGTGTTGGAGGCTATTTTGTAAATGACATCGCCGAAGTCAAGGATCGGTAGGATAGTCAGTTTTACAAGGGCATGTTTGGCAGCATGAGTGAAGGAGGCTTTGTTGCGAAATAGGAAGCCGATTCTAGATTTAACTTTGGATTGGAGATTCTTAATGTGAGTCTGGAAGGAGAGTTTACAGTCTAACCAGACACCTAGGTATTTAAAGTTGTCCACATACTCTAGGTCAGACCCGTCGAGAGTGGTGATTCTAGTCGGGTGGGCGGGTGCCAGCAGCGTTCGATTGAAGAGCATGCATTTAGTTTTACTAGTGTTTAAGAGCAGTTGGAGGCTACTGAATGAGTGTTGTATGGCATTGAAGCTCGTTTGGAGGTTTGTTAACACAGTGTCCAATGAAGGGCCAGATGTATACAAAATGGTGTCGCCTGCGTAGAGGTGGATCTGAGAGTCACCAGCAGCAAGAGCGACATCATTGATATACACGGAGAAAAGAGTCGGCCCAAGAATTGAACCCTGTGGCACCCCCATAGAGACTGCCATAGGTCCAGACAACAGGCCCTCCGATTTCACACATTGAACTCTATCTGAGAAGTAGTTGGTGAACCAGGCGAGGCAGTCATTTGAGAAACCAAGGCTATTTAGTCTGCCAATAAGAATGCGGTGGTTGACAGAGTCGAAAGCCTTGGCCAGGTCGATGAAGACGGCTGCACAGTACTGTCTATTATCAATCGCGGTTATAATATCGTTTAGGACCTTGAGCGTGGCTGAAGTGCACCCATGACCAGCGAGGTTGAACAGGCTAGTAATAGGGGTTGCGACAATTTCTGCGGCTAGTTTTAGAAAGAAAGGGTCCAGATTGTCTAGCCCAGCTGATTTGTAGGGGTCCAGATTTTGCAGCTCTTTCAGAACATCAGCTGTCTGAATTTGTGTGAAGGAGAAGCGGGGGGGGCATGGGCAAGTTGCAGCGGAGGGTGCAGAGTTGGTGGCCGGGGTAGAGGTAGCCAGGTGGAAAGCATGGCCAGCCGTAGCAAAATGCTTGTTGAAATTCTCGATTATTGTAGATTTATCGGTGGTGATAGTGTTTCCTAGCCTCAGTGCAGTGGGCAGCTGGGAGGAAGTGCTCTTATTTTCCATGGACTTTACAGTGTCCCAAAACGTTTTGGAGTTAGTGCTACAGGATGCAAATTTCTGTTTGAAAAAGTTAGCCTTTGCATTCCTGACTGCTTGTGTATATTGGTTCCTAACTTCCCTGAAAAGTTGCATATCGCGGGGGCTATTTGATGCTAATGCAGTACGCCACAGGATGTTTTTGTGCTGGTCAAGGGCAGTCAAGTCTGAGGAGAACCAGGGGCTATATCTGTTCTTAGTTCTGTATTTTTTGAATGGGGCATGTTTATTTAAGATTGAGAGGAAATTACTTTTAAAGAACAACCAGGCATCCTCTACTGACGGAATGAGATCTATATCCATCCAGGATACCTGGGCCAGGTCAATTAGGAAGGCCTGCTCGCTAAAGTGTTTTAGGGAGCGTTTGACAGTGATGAGGGGTGGTCGTTTGACCGCGGACCCGTTACGGACGCAGGCAATAAGGCAGTGATCGCTGAGATCCTGGTTGAAGACAGCGGAGGTGTATTTAGAGGGTAAGTTAGTCAGGATGATATCTATGAGGGTACCCATGTTTACGGATTTAGGGTTGTACCTGGTAGGTTCGTTGATAATTTGTGTGAGATTGAGGGCATCTAGTTTGGATTGTAGGATGGCCGGGGTGTTAAGCATATCCCAATTTAGGTCACCAAGCAGTACGAACTCTGAGGATAAATGGGGGGCAATCAATTCACATATGGTATCCAGGGCACAGCTGGGGGCAGAGGGGGGTCTGTAGCAAGCGGCAACAGTGAGAGACTTATTTCTGGAAAGGTGGATTTTTAGAAGTAGAAGCTCAAACTGTTTGGGCACAGACCTGGATAGTATGATAGAGCTCTGCAGGCTATCTCTACAGTAGATTGCAACTCCACCCCCTTTGGCAGTTCTATCTAGACGTAAAATGTTATAGTTGGGGATGGAAATTTCAGAATTTTTGGTGGCCTTCCTAAGCCAGGATTCAGACACTGCTAGAACATCAGGGTTGGCGGAGTGTGCTAACGCAGTGAATAACTCAAACTTAGGAAGTAGACTTCTGATATTTACGTGCAAGAAACCAAGACTTTTGCGATTACAGAAGTCAGCAAATGATAGCGCCTGGGGAGTAGGAGTGATACTGAGGGCTGCAGGGCCTGGGTTAGCCTCTACATCACCAGAGGAACAGAGGAGGACTAGAATAAGGATACGGCTAAAGGCTTTAAGAACTGGTCTTCTAGTGCGTTGGGTACATAGAATAAAGGGGGCAGATTTCCGGGCGTTGTAGAAAAGATTCAGGGCATTATGTACAGACAAGGATATGGAAGGATATGAGTAAAGTGGAGGTAAACCTAAGCGTTGGGTAACAATGAAAGAGATAGCATCACTGGAGGCACCAATTGAGTCGGTCTCCGCATGTATGGGGGGTGGGACAAAGGAGCTATCTAAGGCAGGTTTAGCTGGGCTGGGGGATCTACAGTGAAATAGTACAATTAGAAATAACCGAAACAACAATAAGCTAACCATATTGACAAGGGAGAGATGCATAAAGAAATCAAGGTGTAATTTGAGAGAGCTAAGACAACAGCTGGTAATGACGACACAGTTTGGGCTGAGGCTAAACATAAACAGGATGCAGTACCGTAAAAAGGAACAGTCCAGCAGACATCAGCTGTATAGCTGAGTTATAAGGTCCGGTGAACAGCAATAGGATAGTTCGGAGGTAGTTTGGGGGCTGCTAAAGCACTAGCGAGCAAGAGGGCACGGCTAGCGTGTGCTAGCAGGCCGGGGCTAGCAGATGGAATCTTCGTGGTCAACGTCGTAACGGGAAGCCTTTTGTAAAATCTACCTCATCAGACGATTTCGTCGGCAGACCAGTCGTGTAGGATCGGCTGGGCTCCGTGTCAACACTAGGTGGTCCCGTCCGGTTGACAGAGAGGTAGATAGCCGGGAGATGGGAGATGGGCCTAGCTCAGGATGATTAGCCAGACCTCAACGTCCATTTTGTTGCAGCTAGCTGGTAGCGATGAATCCGGAGTTAAAGGTCCAGTGATTCAGTGATTCCGGCAGAAAAACGGATATGTTCTGGGTCGATAACGCACTGTGCAGACAGTGCAGACTGGCCGAATAATAGTCCAGACTAGAGCTGGCTGGTAGGTGGTGCAGGCCACGGACAATGGTGAAAAACCGCTAACGGTAGCTGATAGCAAGTAGCTAGTTAGCTGGCTACTCCCGTCCGGTAGACCTAGAGGTAGATAGCCGGGATATGAGCCTGGCTCTAGGCTAGCTCGAGGCTAACTGGTGCTTGCATCGGGGGCAGTGGTGATTAGCCAAACAGCAACATCCATTCGGTTGCGGCTAGCTAGTTGCGATCCGGTGATTAATGTCCAGTGATTAAATTATTCCGGCAGAAAATCCAATGTTCTGGGTGAAATAGCAACTGTGGCTAATAGCAAGTAGCTAGTTAGCTGGCTAGCTAGTTTCAACTGGCGATTCTAGATAAAAGGTAAGTCAATAATAGAATCCGTTCCACATTGAGTGAGGCGGGTTGCAGGAAAGTATATTT